TTAAAATGTTAAAATCAAATCTGATATTGTTTTACCTTTTATTTGGTGTGTGGAAGGTGTGCGGAAGAGGGGGTAGTCTTATACGGCGAGTATATAACAAACTCTGTATTTTGAGTGGAAATGTTAGGGGGTCGTCTTATACGCCCAGTCATCTTATACGCCGGCAAATACGGTATATAAGATTGCTCAAGGAAAGTGCATCAAGTCAGAAGGCAGGACAGAACCCTGGAAGACAGCCACATTAACCCCAACCCGGGCATGTGCCCTGACCCGAGGACCTCTTGGTTCCTGGATTGATGCTCAATCGCTTAGCCTGCCTGTAATTATTAATGTACCTGTCAACCTCCCATCTCAAATGCTTAGAGCACCTACTACGTATCAGTTACTTTGAATTAATTGTTTTTACTTCTGTGGCGTCACTTATGTCCCCACCACATAGGGGAGGGGTGATAGTCTCCCTACTCTTACAGAAGAGGAAGTTAAAGCTAGGAGAACTTAAGGTCATATGGCTACTAAATGACCAAGTGGGGATTAGGTCCCAGTCTGTCTGACTCCAAAGCCCATTACAATCTGCTATAAGCTCCCAGGGAGCAAGCAGTGTTCTGAGTCATCATTGTACATCTCATGGGAACTCAAACAGCACTTTGCACGTAGAAGATGCTTGGTAAATATTGATTTGAACTATGACCTGACTCCCTGAATATTTTTAGTGTTCTGGCATTTTAGGGTGTGCCCAACTTTCTCTGAAGAAATCATTCAACTATGGTTAAGAAAGAAGGGAGAGAGAGAGAGAGAGAAAGGAAGGAAGAAGGAAGGAAGGAAGGAGGGAAGGAAGGAAGGAAGGAAGGGGCTCTTTACATTCAGCAAGGCATCAAATGTGCTAAGTTTACAAGGTAGACAGGAAGATGGCAAAATGAAAACAGTTTGCTTTCCTCCTCTAGGTGACTTCTTTAAATTTAATAATCCCATCAAGGGTGTTAACCATCCAACAGAATCTCCCATGCAGTCACCATAAGAGATTACCTGAAGCATGGCCAAATTCCAGCTGAAACCATTCTCTCTTCATTCTCCAGGAGCATAACATGTACGGCTGGTGGGTCGGAGAACTGAACAGCCTTGTTGGGATCGTTCCGAAGGAGTACCTCACAGCCGCCTTTGAAGTAGAAGAAAGATGAAGCCCAGGTATCCCAGCTGTTGCCAGTGAATGCGCTGGCCATGCCTTTGTTTCTCTGGGAAGGATGGGAGTTGCCAGTGAAGTAGCTTTGCTTCATCTCCAAAGGTGATGCTAATAATTCACCACTGAAAGATGATGATTCTGGAATTGTTTTTCCTAAATTAGGGGACTGTGTCGGTTATGATTAAGTTCAACTACATGTGACAGAAAAGTCAAAATAACTGATTTAATTAACATGGAAATTTATTTTTCTCTTCTGTAAAAACCCGGAGGTAAGTAATACAAGGTAACTAGGTCCCAAGTACCTTGCTTTTTTTTTGTTGTTTTTGGTTTTTTTTGTTGTTTTGTTTTTGGTTTTTTAATATATCTTTATTGATTTCAGAGAGGAAGGGAGAGGGAAATAGATAGAAACATCAATGATGAGAAAGAATCACTGATTGGCTGCCTCCTGCACATTCCCTACTGGGCATGTGCCCTTAACCAGAATCGAACCTGGTACCCTTGAGTCTGCAGGCTGACGCTCTATCCACTGAGCCAAACCATCCAGGGCTTGTTTTTTGTTTTTGCTCCACTGTGTGTGGTCAACATTCCTAAGGTTACCTTGTGGTCCAAAATGGATGTTCCAGCTCCAACTATCATGCCTGTATCCTGCCCAGCAGGAAACATAAAATAAAAGGAAAAGGGCACACCTCCTCCTTTTAAGGACACTTCACAGATGTTGCACTTACCACTTCTGCTTACATTCCTTTGGCCAGAACTTAGACACACAGACAGGAAGACAAAGCTGCAAAGAAAGCTTTATTGTGTCTAGCTTAAAAGTGGAAGATGGGTTCATTCATAAAATAAAAAGGGGAGAATGGATATTGGGGACAACTAGGAATCTGTGCCACAAGCATGGGTCTAGATCCCAGCTCACAAATCCAGGCATGGCACACACACAAAATGTTCATCATACAAGGTTATTTGTTTGTAATAACAAACCATTGGAAATAAACTAAATGTTCAATAGAGAACCAGCCAAATAACTGTAGTACATTTATAGAATCGAATACTATGCAACAGTAAAAAAGAAAAAAGAAATTCTCTGCATTGATATGAAATACATTCTAAAATATGTTGGTAAATAAAAAATAAAAAAAGTAGCAAAGAAGGGTAGGCCTAACTTACTCCACTCATGTAAAAAGGAAGTTTCCAATTGCTTATAAATGTACTAGAGGCCTGGTGCATGAAATTCATGCACCGGTAGGGTCCCCAGGCCTGGCCAGTGATCAGGACAGATCGTTGGGGTGCGGAGTCCTATATGGGAGCAAGTCCTAGATAGGGGCCAAGCCAGAACTTTGAAGAGGGCTTGTCTATACACAGCCCTGTTCCTTTTCCTGGTGCCTGTACCTAGCACTCAGATGGAGCAACTGGTGGGGTGATTGGGGCTCCCACTTGCACCCCCCTTGGCCTGGCACCACCAACTTGCCAGCCCCTGCCGCTGGTCAGGGCCTGCAGGCTGGGAGCAGCTCCTGCATTGAGCGTCTGCCCCCTGGTGGTTAGTGCATGTCATAGTGACCAGTCTTCCCACCAGTCATTCTGCCATTTGGTCTATTTGCATATTTTCCCCATTTACTACATATGTTCCCCAGAGCAAGTTCCTTGACCTTTTATGCTTCAATTTCCTCACCTTAGAAGAGGTATACTCCCTCTCACCAGGTCATTAGGACGATTCAAAGAAAAACACATGCTAATGTACTTAAAACAATGATGGGCACATAGTAGCTTCTCAATGAGGGTTAGCTGTTATTATTGCCTATCTACACACGAAATTTTGGAAAATGGGCAACTGAGCAACTAAAGAAATTTTCTTTCATGTAAATTACAGCATAGAGGGTCCTGTATGGGAGCAAGTCCTAGAGAGGGGCCAAGCCAGAACTTCGAAGAGGGCTTGTGTATACGCAGCCCCGTTCCTTTTCCTGGTGCCTGTACCTAGCACTCAGGACCTTTTATGCTTCAATTCCCTCACCTTAGAAGAGGTATACTCCCTCTCACCGGGTCACTAGGACGATTAAAAGAAAAACACATGCTAATGTACTTAAAACAATGATGGGCACATAGTAACTCCTCAATAAGGGTTAGCTGTTATTATTGCCTATCTACACAAGAAATTTTGGAAAATGGGCAACTGAACAGCCAAAGAAATTTTCTTTCATGTAAATTACAGCATAGGGAATATAGTCAATAACATCATAATAACTATGTATGGGGCAGGTGGATACTTAAAATATGGGGCGGGGGACCACTCTATAAAGCACATGGTTGTCTAACCACGATGCTGTACATCTGAAGCTAATACAGAATAATACTGAATGTGAATTGTAATTGAAAAAAGAAAATTTATCTCTGAAACTGCCTACCCAGAGCAGTCCTGCCTTCCTCACCTCTCTGACAACCATATCTTAGCCCTGCAGAAAGACATTCATTTCACACCATCCGAAGAGAGAAACCGGGGAGCACACAGGAACGTTGTCAGTGGATTCCATGTTCCTCAAAAGATCCTATGCCAGCTCTTCATTTCCAGATGTTCTGGCCCAGGAGTAAAAAACAATGAAGCCTTTTGTGTATGCGCTGTAAAAAGAGGTAAGAAAAGGGGAGGACTTAGGTCTGGGAGAAAAATAGAAAAGAGATAAAGGGCAATACTGAACTGTCCGTAAGGTCCCCTTCATTTTACACAGGGTGCTAACGGACAAGGAACCACTAGGTGGCAGCATTTGAGCAGATGAACCAAAGAGAACCAATGGCCTCCAGCTTTAGGAACCTTTGCACCAATCCCAACCTACAGGTAAGGACAATGGGCATTGTTCTAACGTGTTTAACAGAGGGAGCAAACAGGAACCCCTCTATGCCCCCTGATTGTTCCCTCCCTGGAGAACCCCTAAGGACCCAAATCTGGAAGGCTGGGAGGTTGGGAGGCTGAGGAGAGAATACCATTGTGGCACTGCTCTGACTGAGCAGGTATCTGGGCCAGGGGCAGGAGGAGGATGAAAAAGGGGCCAAGTCAAGGTAACGTCACTCTCTGCACAGTTCAAGGCTCTCTCAATAACATAGTCCTTGGCTTCCGGCATTTAAAACAAAATCCCCTTAGTGCAGTAGGTCCCTTCTATATCTGTAGACCCGAGGAAACAACCATTGGCCAAATTGCAAAGGTAGGCACCACACTTGGTCCGCTGACCCTTCTAGCTGTAAGCCTCAAGTGGAAAAAGAAATCAGATTGGCCCTGGGCGATGTAAACAAATAGACTGATTGGAAACCTGGTCCATAGACACCTGGCTGTCTCTGCCAATGCTCCAAACAGGAGAAGAGGGTGCAAGTTCGATGTGCTGATGAGACTTCCTATGGGGCTGAAGGGCATTATGTTAGGGTCAAGTTCTAAAGGACCCCTTTGGGAAACAACGGATTCCTACGGTCTTCCTGGAGATCATCCTCACCTCGAAAAACTGCTCCCCACACAGTATATCAGCCAATAGCCTCAGAAAGCAACTGGCTAATCAGGTTACCCCCTCTCTGACTCCACTAACCAAATCCCCACCTTACTGCCTGTGACTAACTGGATAACTGGGGGTGTTAGACCACTTAACTAACCACATTAAATGTAGAACAGGTTCCTTTTTCTTTTTTTTCTTTTTTAAGAATGGGTTCTTCCTAGCCACTAATTGATCTGGCATGTGAAATAGGAGAGTGTTAGAGGTGGGAGGCTTTTTTTTCTTCCTTGATTTTACGTAAAGGAGGGAAAATAAGAAAGCTCCGATCCTAAATTTAAGGAGCAAATGTGTTATCTGCCTTTTACAGATAAATAATTTACACAGAACTTACCGACATCCACTGGATAATCCGACCTGAGGCTGGTATAGTTTGGCCTGTATTGTCCAAACGAATATCTGAGAATACTAAATACTCTGAAAGCAACCTTTCCGCTACATTTCATTAAAACTACATTTTTCTAGTGGTTTTTTTTTTTCTGTCATCCATATAGCAAAATAGCATAGACACTGTTTTGCAGTTACCTCAATATTACATTTCCCCACACAATGGCCTGTTATATCTCTTAGAAGTCTGAATTTAATTCAAAACCAACTATATCTTTCCCTCTGGTGAATAAAAATGGGAAAGAGAATTCCTATTAAGTTTCATTTCCTAAACGCAGACAGTTTGATTCCATTTAAAGTGAAAGCAATGCCAAAAGGTAGGGCTGATTAGATGTCCTCCATCCTGTTTCAGATAGATATTTTTTCTAAACCTAATATGTAAGGAATCGCCTAGATTTCACATTCTCATTAACTTTATTTTTTGCACTTTAGCTTGCTCAGTTGAGCTGCCTTATTTGTAGCCAGTTAGTCTTGCCAAGTGGCAAAACTGAAGCATCTGCAAGGTGGTGACTTTGACAAAAATCACACAAAATCTGCTGTAGGAGGGGAAATGAAAGGAGAGACTATTTTTTTAAATATATTTTTATTAATTTCAGAGAGGAAGTGAGAGATAGAAACATCAATGATGAGAGAGAATCATTGACTGGCTGTCTCCTGCATGTTAGACCGAGCCCGCAATCCAGGCATGTGCCCTTGACCGGAATTGAACCTGGGACCCTTCGGTCCGCAGGCCGACGCTCTGTCCACTGAGCCAAACTGGCTAGGGCTGAAAAGACGCTTTCAATTCTCAGTCTGCTGCTTTGCTTGTTGAATCACTCATAGTCTATTGCAGTGACACACCTCCAGTGACACATTTTCAAAACCCACATTCCATGCCAGTCACTTGCGACACAATAAAGCAGTGATGTCGATGCAAAGAGCAAGATGTGGGGTGGAGGGGACGCACTCATGCCTTTAAAAAGCAGCCTGAAAAAATGGAGTTGAAGCAAAGCAGACATGAAAAAGCAAAGAAACCAAAGTATGTTATTTTCTGTTCTTCCTTGCATCTTAAGAACAAACACTCAGATGTCAGGGACAGAGGTGCTTTAATCTTTGGCCAAAAAGCTCTCCGGCAGGTCTCCCCACCAGGAGTGGTGCTGGTTTGCCAATGCCCAGAGCACCAGCAAAATCGGCGGGGCTGACTTTAGAAAAAGCAGCCACTACACAGAGGATTATTCCTGCTACACAGCTCAGTGACTCAAACTAATTTTCTAGTTTGTGGATTACCATCGTCCCTTGCTCCTCCTCTCCCTTCCCCTCATGTCCAGTCATTTCATTTCCCATTTGAATTTACAGAAATTGGGTAGAGAGTTTGAAACTAAAAAGAGATTTTTTTCTTCTTCGAGGGA